AAGACAAAAGACAAAAAAAAAAAAAAAAAAAAAAATTTTTAAAAAAAGAAACCGCAAAACCCCATAATTCTTAATCGGTTGATTTGGTTTTATGTAAATAACTTTTGTTCTGTTTGATTTTGGTTAGCATCTTCACAGATGTTGGCAAGGCCAGGAATCTTCCTTTTCAAGAAACACAGCAAAGGCCTTCAAGAACACCAGTGCGCACAATTCATAAAAAAACATGACCATATAAAGCATGGTGAAGATGAAAGGATTTGTGATACTAAAATGAATCCATACCTTGTTTTCAGATCCATTGATAATACATAGCATTTGCAGTTTAAAAATGAGTAAAGACAGTTTGATATTTTCTTCAAAACTGTACTCTAGCATATTTTAGTGCCCAATATGTACACATTGGCTTATTGGAAGACCATCCTTATGATATAAGGACAATCAGGCCAAAACTGTATTGAGCTGTGTGGTATAAAGAACACAGGGATAAGAATCAAGGGACTGTGTACTGGGGCTACTTCTGCCAAAAACGAGACATATGACCTTGGACAAGTCACCTAGCTCCAACTATAACTAGGCCTTCCCTGGAAAATGTATGCCTAGGTCCACAGCATCTCAAAGTACCTCTGTGTTGCTTGAAACTGAACATGTTTTTTTTTGGGCAAAGCCCTCATGAATGGGATTAACCCTCATAAGAGAAGCCTGAGAGAGCTTCCTTGTCCCTTCAGCCATGTGAGAACACCGTGAAAAGTCAGCCATCTATGAACCGAAAAGTGAACCGTAGCCAGACACCAAAACTACAGGGGCCTCGATCTTGGACTTATCAGCCTCCAGAATTGTGAGAAATAAACTTCTGTTGTTTATAAGCCACCCTGTTTGTGGTATTTTGTTATAGCAACCTGAGTAACCTAAGACATATGAGTAGGACATAGCAGAACTACTGGGAAGATGCAGGAGGAAAAACTTGATCAAACATAAAGCAGAGTTGAGATGCATGCATCTTCAGAAACAGTGGCTGATCAGTGCACAGACTGCTCTGGTGAAAAGCGGTGCACTAGGAAGTTGCTAGTAAAGATGCCTCATCGAAATGCAGATAGAAGCTTGGTTTTATTTAAAAATTGGTGGGCTCAAGCCAAGATCTCCAAGGGATAAAAGGAAGTAGGTAATATCTGGGCCCCAGGGGGAAAGAATAGAAAATTGATGAAAGTTTCTCTGTGACAGGTCGAGCAGGTGGAGTTGAAAGGAGGTATCTAGAAGGCCCAGGAGGGTGTAGGGACCTGCTGGAGGGGGGAGGGCTGTGGTTCAGCCTCCTCCTCTTTTTGCCCCTACCCCACCCTTTGTGATGAGGCCACAGCTCTGTGATGCAGGTCTGGGGACTAGTCCCCCAGGGACTCCCAGGGCTTAGTTGCCTGAGAGCAACAGTGCAATTCAGAAGATGGAGAATCTTCTCTCCCCTCTGAATAGCGTTATTGCCACATGGCTGAGCCCTGGCTTCACTTCCTGGATATTTGATATCATCTTTGCCTTCCTGGGTGGGTTGGGGTTCTTTTTCCTGATACTCCCCTGTTTCCTGAATGATCCATCCTTACCACCGCCTAGGAAAAAGGGGAGCATGAGGAAGGTAAACAGCCTTCTGCCCAGACCCAACAGAAAGTGATTCTCTCTTTTCTTCCTATTGCTATTTCTGCTTTTCCAAATCAACTAGAGAGACTCCTAAGATGGGAGATCTCAGGAAAGAATAGAACAGTGCCCTTCTAGGGACAGACGGGGCAGGGGTAAGAGCAGGCACTAGGATTTCTATCTGAAGCGCTCAGACCAGCTGTGCAGCTGAGCTGGAGGGGCCAGGGCAAGGTCAAAGGCTGAGACTCAGTGGCCAAAGACAGGATTGCTGAGAGAGCTGAGGTCACTGTGGGAGGACAGGCCCTGAGCACTGGCGCATCAGTCCCTGCCTGTGGCGGGCATCTTGGGCCAAGCCTTGCCTCCATGTCAGGCTCATCTGGCTGAGTCCCTGACAGTCTCCCATCAGAGGCTGGAGGTGACTCCTACCCTACAACTCAGGTGCACGTCTAGCCTGTGGGTTTCCAGAGCAGAGAAACTGAGGACATCCACAGTGGATCTCACTTAGAAAGTCCCTCTCTGTGTTTCAAAGAAGGAAAACAGGAAATATTTTTATCCACTTTAAAAATGAGTGAAGCCAAGAGAAGAGCTCAGAGCTCCATCAGCCACATGTACCAAGTCGTGTTGTTCATGAGCACTGAAGGCTTGTCTGGGAGGAGGAGAGTGAGACTCGGATCCCAGCCCCTCGTTCTTGTTCCTTCTTGTCTCTCAGCATCAGGTGGAGATGAAGAGGAGCAGGAGCAGGCAGAGGCGTGCTCTGATAGGTGAGGCTCTGTCCTTCTGCCCGATGACTTTGCCGGTCCCTGAGTAATAAGGGCCACGTCTATGAGGATGTCGTTGCAGAGGCCCGAGAGGGAAGCTCCTGGGATGGGGATCAAACCTGGGGTACTGCTCAGGTTCTGCACTGGGAATGAAGCCACAGCGGGCCAGGGAAGGGCTGTTGTCCAGCAGGGGTGGGGGTGTGGGGGTTGGGTAATGGGCCAATACTGCCTGGATGGAGGTGGGACCTCCCGGTCCACTATGGACATGCTGTTTAACTTTGCTAAGGCTGATTCCTCTTTGGGAGGACCCTGTCCTTCCTCCCCCAGAGGGCAGTGGTGAGGACCATGGGGCGCTGGATGTGGAAGTGCTTTGTAAATGACAAAGTGCTACCCATCCGTGCACCTTGCTGTCCCTGCCCAGGATCACACAGCCTTGGACACTGATGCTGGGACTCTATGGTCTAGTTTCCCATGGTCTCTCATAAAGGGACATTCCACCCAGCCTCTTGTAAGATCCCCAGGCCCCTCCCTTCACCATAACCCGGTCTCCTGATTTCAGCCTATAGAGATTGCCTGGAGAAACTGAGGGAGGTTCGGGGACTGATCTCGCTTCTGCGAAGGTGAGGAAATTTCCCCTTTTCTTTCATGTCCTCCTTCCTACTAGGGCCTATCATGTGATTCCAGGGCCTGTGGCTGACCTGGGAGGGGAGTCCACAGAAGTGGATGGGATGTGACTAAATCCTTGGGGAAGGGGTGGCAGGAGCTTTGTGAAGTCAGCATGTGGGCCGGGCAGGGCGATGACCGTACCTGGCTCCTGGCCCATCTGCTCTTGGCTGCAGTGTGCACCTCCTGTCTCCTGCAGCTATCTGGAGGAGCTCCCTGATCCCCTGGTTAAGGTGTGTAAACCAGCACCTGCTAAAGACCATCAGCCACACGGGGTGCGTGTGGAAGATGCTGCTCTGGTCACTGCATCCGCACTGGCTGCCCCAGCTCCTGTGGCTGAGCGCCCTCTATCCTTTGGCTGAGCGCCCTCTGTCTGTGGCCTCCATCCTGTCAGCAGAACCTCAAGAAGACCAGCCTGAGTGGAAGAGAATCACACCAGGCACTTCAGGCCTTGACCGTACCATGTCATTCCTATCCTTGTGGCAGGCGACTGCCAAGGCCTTGTTCTTCCCCACCTCCTCACATCACCAATCCCAGCAAGAGCATCTTTCCCACCACCCAGCAAAGGCCTTGTTCCAGGGAGACCCCACACGCAGGCAGATAGAGGCTGGTGGCCCCTCTTTCATCAACCCCTCTTTCATCAACCCCGATGTTCAAAATCTGCTGGAGACACTAATCACCAAGAGGGCAGAACGGAAGATGTGGAAGGAAAATCAAAAGGTCAGGTCATTTCTCAACCAACAGAGCCCAGAATCCTTCTGGAGCCTGAAAGACAAACCAGAGCAGCTGCCCAGCCCTCAGGAGCTCTCTTATCCCAGGATCTCGGAGGACCATTTACAGCAGAAATGCAGCCAGTTCTTCTGGGGCCTTTCTTCTCTGCACAGTGAGTCCCTAATGGCTACTGCCTGGGTCTCTCGAAAGCATTCCTCACAACCTTCTTCCTCAGTAACTGTTTTATTCAATAGATTCTCTAATTCTTGTCCAGCTCAAGCTCAGGCTACAGTACCTTCTCACCTTTCCCAGGCCAAGCCCTTGCCCCACCATGTGGCCCAACTCCAACTCCTGTCTCAAAACTGGCGCTCACCTCTGACTCAGGTCCAGACACAGGCCCATCCCCCATCCTCTCTCCCAAATCCATTACGTTGTTCTCCACCTCTGACTAGGACCAGTAGAACATCATGTCCTACATCCCAGAAGGAGTCACCATCTTTCATCCGAACTAGCCATCAGCATCTGGAATGGCCCTCACAGAAGCGACTGAAACAGACTAGGGATTTACCTTCTGTGTTCAGAGGATCTCAGGAAGGCTTCAGCCAGCACTCTTCCAAGCTTCCCCAGACCCACAAACTCGCCTCCATCCTTCCTGGGGCTTCTACCAGCCCTTATTTCCAAGAGCCACTGCAGCTGCAAGGCACGTTCATCAAAGATGAACACCCCTATGGTCTTGGGCAACTGACAAGGCCTCAAGGTGAATTCTCACCAATGACATATCAGTGTCAGGCAAAAATCAAGCATGGGCCCTCCACGCATTCTGGATTTGTGGATGAAAGCAGCCAGAATGCACAGAAGACGGAGTCCAGGAGCTCTGGAAGATTCTGTAAAAAGGGCCCAGGAAAGTTCAAACTAGAGAAAGACCCAAGTAAGAATCCAGGCCAAGATCAGGAAAGCGTCTTGGAAGATCCATCCAAGGATTCAGGAAGCACCTCAGCGAAGGTTGTCGAAGTCTATACGGAGTCATCAGAAAGTGACTCAATGAGGCCCCAGGAGTGTGACTCAGGAAAGGACTTACTCAGGGCCGCAGACAAGCAGCATCTACAAGAAACACCGAAAGTCCACTTGGGCAGGAAGTTGGGGGAGATCAATGAAGGCACAATCCCTGGGAGTGTGTGTCAATCCAGGCTTGCTGCCAGCCATGCTTTTCCCAAGTCTGACACCCACACACAATCCAGAAATTCAGCTTCCTCAAAGGGTGGGGTGTCCCACGTGGACACTTCTCAGGACCTTTCCTTCCTCAGTCCGGATACTCAGAAGGCGTTAGACACACATATTAGAAGGATTCTGGTGAAGAACAGGTGGAGTCCAGATCTCCAGGCCCCTGAACCCATAAATCTGAAATTAAATGAGGCTCAACCCTTGTCTCTTCCACAGTCCACCTCTTCCTCCTTGACTACCAGGGAATTTGGGGCCAACTCAACAGCCGAGGTTGCCAATTTCTTGACAGAACCTCCTCAGAAATATCCAGGAGGGAAGGTGACAGCACACACTTCAGTTTCCACTGTAAATAGTCCTCTCCCTAACCCCTCACCTGCGTGGAAGGAAGCCCAGAGGTCTGTGTACCAGACAGAGACCCCATCTAGTGACAAATGTGGGCACTCAGTGGCCCCTTTGACTGGACAGAATGGCAGGTGGCCTTCTCAGCTCCTCACATGCAATGTTATGGGCACAACCTGGCACAGTGCAAATGTGCTGGGGGCTGGGAGAGGCAGCCTAGAGCCGAATCTAAGTCCAGCAATGTCCAGCAGTGAGCCACAAGAGGAGAGTGTGAGCAGGGCCACAGGAGACATGAGCCACAGCACAGCAGTGCTGCAGAGCAACACTTCGGCCCAGTGTTCAAGGGCCGAAGAGACCAGAAAGGCGGCAGCAGCTGCGGAGAAGCCCCCTGCTTGGGGAGTCACGTTGGGAGTGGGTGTGATGGCAAATACCCAGACCGATAATGTCATTCAGAGGAGTTCAGGGTCTCTGGGGACTGGTAAAAGCGTGCCATCCTCTAGAATTCCCACTACTCAGGCACCAGGAGAGCCACGCCTTACTGCACAGATTGCTGGTGAGTTTGAGTGCAGGGTGGAGGCCGAGTCAGAGAAGGGGACTCACAAGTGTGTGACCGGTGTCCTCCTTCAAGACTCCGCCACTGGGGTGCTCCATGCTCCAGACATCTGTTCTTCTCAGGCATCTCTGTCTGGCTTCAAGAGAACGTCCAGCAACGATGCATTAGCCTCCCAAGGGCCACATGACGTCTCGTGGAGGGGACGGAGCAGCCAGGGGCAGGAGGAACCTAGGAGCCCCAGATTCCAGAACCTATTGGAGAAGCAGAGCAAGAGGCTTGGCCCTATTGACAGGAGTGAGGGCCGCAGGAGGCCCACACGAGGAGCACGTGAACACAGGGCTGCAGGGCTCAGCCAGCCTGCCCAGGACAGGGAATCGGTAGCGTCCTTAAGGAGCCAGGCCTCCCAGCTCCCACCAGAGAAGGGACAGGCATCTCCAGAAAGCCAATTCAGGCACAGGATCTGGCTCTTTCTGCAGTGTCTTAATCCCAATAAAAAAGGCAAAGGACAGGACGATCCCCTGCAAAAGGGAAGGCCCACGTCAGCCACAGCCTGGAGCCAGGGACCAGATCCAAGCAGATCATCTGTGGACAGCATGGCCGAAGCCCACGCAATCATTACAAGTATTGAGCAGATGCTGGTGGACAGGTTGCAGCTTCGGCATGGACATGGTCCCTCCGAGATAAATAGGCATGAAGTGAACCTCCAGGCCCCAGTGGGAGGGAATTCCTGCTACCCCAGGGGTCGTTCCTACCCAGAGCAAAGAATAGAGATGAGAGATATGGCCTGCAATCGCCACGCCACCCCTGCGCGCCACAGCCATCCTGTCAAGAACAGGCAGATCAGACACAGGGACAGCAATTGGGCCTCACCACCAAGTAAGCATGTGTCCCCAGCCAGTTCCTGCCAGCATAGGACAGCCTCTGGCAGCCCTGTCCATCACCCCAGGCACTGTCTTCTTCTAGGAGGCATCTCACCTGGTCACCCAGATCATGCTTCTCACCCCTTTCCTAGAGGGAAAACTTTTCCCCCAGAGGAATCTCAGCACATGCAGAGAAAATCTGTTCTCACCCAGGTGGGCATGTGCTCTGTGTACTAATGGCTTCTCCCTACCAAGATATGCATTGTTTCTTAATATATGTTTTTCCTCCTCCGAGGTAGTGGCTCTGTCTGTGCCATGCGGGGCATAGGGAAGGGGTCAGCTCTTCCTGAGTATGGCTTCTAGAGGGGACAGCATGAGGGAAGCTGACCGCGGCCTTGCCGACCCACTCTCACCCCACAGTCCCTCCCTGCACCTCGACGTCACGATGCAGCCATTACAGAAAGCCTTCAGCACTTGTCAGGATGAGCAGCCCTGTGAAAATCCCACTCAGATTGGGGCTCACCATCTTCTCTGCTTCCCTCAACCTTGAACTTGGTGCACTGCAGGGGACAGGTCGACAGAGGCCTTGGTGACCAATTCCCCTTGCCTGGGAATGTCAGAGCCCAGTAGCCTCACTCGTCACAGTGGGCTCAGGAAGTCTGGGGGGCAGTGCCGGCCCTAAGTCCAGTGGGAGAAATGCACCCTTGGACCTCTCAGGTCACCCAGATCATGCCTCTCAGGGGGACAGACCTGCCTGCTCGGGGCATCTCTCTCCCATGACAGTGGGGATGCAGGAGGGCCCTCCTGACCCCTCTCAGTTCAGCCCGGGGCCACGCTCACCCTGTGAACCCCTTCAGCTCAGATGTGGAGGGCCAGGCCATGGTCAACCATTTCCCGATGGTCCACCTGAGAGCTCACCCTGTCCCCGGCATCCTTGAAGGAGGCATTGGCAATGGAGGACAGCCAGTGCTGGTGACTTGCATCACTCACAGTCCCAGGTGGCCTCCAGGGCAAACCTGTGGCAACAGCATGGCCAGGACCAAGTACAGGGCCAGGCCTGTAGTCTGGCAGACACCCCCAGAGACCTGTGACAGAGACCCCAGAGACCTCTGATAGAGATCCCCTGAGATCTCTGAGAGAGACCCCGAGAGACTTCTGAGAACCCCCACATACCTCTGACAGAGACCCCCCCCAGAGATAAGTGACAGAGAACTCTGACAGAGACTCCCAAAGACCACTGGAAGATACCTCTGACAGAGACCCAGCTGAGAGATCTCCACAGAAACCTCAGAGACCCAACTGAGAGAAACTCCACAGAGACCTCCACAGAGACCTCTGACAGAGATACAACTGTGAGAGACCCAACTTACAGACTCCCACAGAGGCCTCCGAAAGAGACATCCACAGATGCCACATTACACAGAGATCTCTGACAGAGATAACATAGAGCTGGCAGAGACCCACACGGAAAGATCTCACGAGACCTTCCCCAGAGACCTCTGACAGAGAGACTTTATACAGAGACCTCCCTCAGAGACCTCCCACAGAGACCACACTCCCATTCTTGGGAGCTTGAGCAGCTACCCGGTGACAGGTCTTCCCAGTGGGTCTGAAAGCACTCAGCAAACTGGCCACACAGGATGGAGACCATCAGCTGTGCTTCCCTGAGAAAACGCTCATGTATTTTTGTTTCACATGTACATCTGTAAACTCCTATTCTTCATGGATTTTCACTAGCTTGAGCTCTGACTCACAATTTACAGAATCACAGACTTTGAAAATGAGAAAAGTTCT